ACTCAAGCACATGAAAAGGGGACAGGAAAGTGCCGTATATAAGCAATGAGTGGCATTTTACCAGAAGATTTCTACTGAATAAGAGAGCTTACGAAAGACCTGAGCATAACTAACAAAGCTTGAATGCAACGTCTCGTTCCCTACTCAGGCAACCGAGGTTACATCAGTGACCAGAGATGTTCCCTTTCGAGAGGGTCTCTTGACGTTGAGTACAGCGTAAGCTGACACTTTGGGGAATGTATAACTTCGCACCATGTTACTGTGAAGTGCGCTCAGCATAGGTGGAGGCATAAAATAAGTTAAAAAAAGTTAAAAATAAATAAAATAAAAACCAACTAAACCCAGCTGATTTAGCAAAACGCCAGCTAAAAACAGCTGATTTGGCAAAAAAAAAAAAAAAAAGTTAACAACCAGCTAAAACCAGTTGATTCAGTAAAAAACAGCTAAAAACAACCTAGGCTGGTTGTCTAGTCTTAGCTGGGTTAAGCTGAAAATAGCTTGTTTAAACTTGGTTGGTCTTTTAAAACGTCTCCCAGCTTGACCAGCTAAGACCAGCCAAAAAGTAGCCAAAACCACTTTAAAACCAGCCTGAGAGACCAGCCAAAGCAGCCAACCAGCTTAGGCTGGTTTTAGCTGTTTTATTCAGTAGGGAATTGTTAAGCTTTGCTATAGCAATAGACAGCTTAAATACACCATAAGACTCACTGTACAAAAGTTTTGAAAGTCTATGGGATTTTTTGTGGTTTATGAAAACCATCGAAAACCAGTTGGATCAGTTAGAAAAGTCACAGCACACTAAGTCATACCAGTCTGAAGGTCTGACCCGAGTTTGGTGGTTGTAGCTTTAAAGCTCTAGGAGGAGTTAAGTGTTAAATTTTGGCGAAGAAGAAGAAGAAGTTTAAATAGTAGATAAGTAAGTTGGCTTTCTCAAGCCAACTTAAATATCTGACTATGCAAAATAATCATCTTTCACAGAGAGCTCAAAAGAAAATACATATGTTTAGTCATTTTAAAAGCTTTATTAAAACTTATTTATAGGCAATGTATATTATAAATGTATAATATTAATTGCCAGTTCATATAATATGATCTCTAACCCAGGATAAAACCTGCTCTGGAGTGTAGCATAAGTTAACATGGCTACGAAACCCACTCAAAACCAACCCACCTTCTTGAGCCCGAAAACTCAAGAGTTTGCTCAAACATAATTGAACTTACCTGGATAAAAATCAAAACCTGCTTTGTGAAACAGGCCTCTGCTGAAGACCACTGTGTGAGTGTTATTAAACGTACAGATGTAACAAACTGTTAAATGATTTTTTTTTAACTCCACACACCCACACACACTAGTTTAGTACTATCTAAACTAAACTGCTATTATGGAATGCACAATACAGAAAGACAAATATAAAGATGAACATGTCATCATTCATTATCCGCTTGAGATAAATATACTCTACATGCTGAATGTAGAAATATGTAAACAGTGTGTACTGCATATATGACTGCTGATTGTAAAAAGTTGGCACACTCAAAATTGCATTAAATACAGATGGAAAATGTGGGTGGGAAGATGGACAGCTGTTGAAAACTTGTGTTACATTGAAACTTCAATGTCAAGGTCACAAAGCTTAAAATTAACCTATTCAGCAGCACAGCTGCTGGATCTCCCTGGTTGTATCAAAGATTTAAATTCTGTTTAATCTACAAACATTGGTTAAAAATGTAACTTTGTGTTCAATTTGTTCATCAGAATTTAAATACATCTGTATTGCAGGTGGCATTTCACTGTTAGGTTAAGGAGGTTCTGGCTTTATGTTTTGAGAAATTTACAACAAACATTTTACCTTTAAGAATATAAGCAATAAAAATTATATATCTTGTTTCTTTACATGCTTGATAAACTAGGTTACATCAGATTGCCAATGCAGCAATAATATACAGTTTTCTAACATTCAAATAATCAAGATATAATTCTGTATCTCTTCATAGATACACAATGACAGCACTTCAGATATGTCTTTTGGAGCTGATTGGTCAATGGCAGACAACTTGGGCGTGGATCAATAGGCTGACAGTCCTATAAATACTGCAAGTGAGGAGCGAGACCTTCATCGCACAGGTTAAATCAGCAGACCATGAGGTCTATATATATATATATATATATATATATAAACAAAGAGAAAGAAAATATATTTCATTTGTTATAATCAACAACATGAAGTGAACATGAAATGAGAGTTACATCAAGGCTTCCCAAACTGCGGTTCGTAAAGGGACTGCAGAGTGTTTGAGAGTTTAATGAAAAGCTAATAATAAATTAAATTATAAACAAGTAAAATTAAAATCATTTTAAAATAACATCAATCAAAATAAAACACTTACTAAAAAATTAAGTATTTTGTACCTGCATGTCATATGACCATTAACCAAAGTTAGAGAACCGGGAACATGCAAATGTGTTACTTAATTATTAAAATATAAATTTTTAAAATCTAAGGGGTACTTCAAGTAAATATATTAGGTGAAAGATGTGCCTGCATTACATGTAAATAAGAAATAACATGAATTTATGCATTTTAATGTGTTTGAAAGACAAAAGCCTCCCAAATGACATAGTAATACATGGTTAAATAACCTTATTCAAATACAAATTAATGTGTTCATCAGTAGTTGATGCAATGTTGAAACACTTAAACCTGAAATGATTTGTGTAAATCCAGTGGTCAAATGCCGAGTAGTCACCTGACTAGTGACTGGTCTTTGTGTGAATGTCCACAAACCTGGAAGACTTTCTTAGTGTACATAAGCGGTAGGCTAATTTTGAAAGGAACATTTAAAAGATGCAAAGGGGGAATTAGGGAGAATCAATAAATTATAAATTTTTTTTTGCTATTGTATGAATAATATGCAATCATGTAATCAATAAAAAAGTAACTGCAGTCCGATTACAAGTATTTTAAAATGTAATTTAATCTAATTACAAGTACTTAATTTTTGGAATCTGATTACGTAATCCAGATTACATGTAATCATTACTACCCTGGGGTGCGTTTCCCAAAAGCTTTGTAAGCCTAAATTCATAAAAACGATCGTACGACTGATCTTAATATTACGGTCTGTTTCCCAAAATCATTGTAGATCTACGAGTGCTCTGGAGTAATCGTAAAACTCTAAGTGCATCGTAAGAAGACAGAGTTATGCGGTCACCTGCAGGACAATCGGCAGATTGCACCTTTAACTTTATTCAAGTGCAATGTGATTATAATATAAGGATTTGATTGTACTTTATTGTACACTTTATTACTCTTTTTTTTTATTAATTTATAAATGAAATAATTAAAAAGGGCAGAAAAAATAGAAATACACATCTAAATTAAATGACTGAATGAAAAAAAAATTAATAAAAGAAGTAATGTAGGAAATATGCTTCAAAGACTGGGGGAAAAATCTGTCAATGACTTGCTGAAGTGCACGAAAATGTATTGGACCCGGAAATATCATCTCTCTCTCTCTCTCTCTCTATATATATATATATGTGTGTGTGTGTGTAAAGTATATTATATATTATTATGTAAAGTATAATATTATACACTATAATATAATATAATAATATAATATAATATAATAGTTATTATATCCGAGTCTGGAACGCAGCATTAGGTTAACATTTCAATAAACGAGCGTGTACTACAATTACGAACCATTCTCTAAGGTGACATTTCAGCACTTGACAAACGGATAGCGACTACTAAGTAGCACTTAAAGCACAGCTATGTGCGATTGTGTTAAGTGCATTTTTGGGAAACACACGTGAAACAATAACAAACGATCGTAAAATCACTTGCAGAAAACGCTCTTAAGCGCTAAGATCAATCGTTATCGGGAAACCCGGCCCAGTACAGTTGACCGGAAATGACTGAGCTGGCTTATCTAAAACCAGGAAGTAATCGTGCATATGGTCAATTCCGAGGGAAAACCGCGGACTTGGCAACACTGAGTGGAGGTGACGTATTTCCAGATCCACGCGACCAGCGGCGCTACAATTTAAATGCCATGGAGGCAAAAAAAGTAGAAGGCATACTGGTATGTGGGATACCCATAAAGAACAAATTCTTGTTGAGTTGTGGCAGCAGAGGGCATGCTTGTACAATGTGTCCTCTAGCTGCTATCATGACCGCACCAAAAAGGGCATAGCATGGAAGGAGATAGCGGAGGAACTGCAGCTGCCAAGCTCCCTGTGCAAAACTGGCATCCCAAGTTGTCCTCTTTTCCCGAGGCATGAGCGGGTCCATATTGCCCTCTTTCGCCGGCGCCTTTTCTTTGTTTCAGCGCACATGAAAAGCACAACTGCCAAAGCGCGATCCATCTTGATGTACCGGTATTTGTTTACCACTAGCGCATGCTGATTACGTTGCGCTAAGAAGTTCGTAAAAACGATCGTACGACTGATCTTAATATTACGGTCTGTTTCCCAAAAGCATCGTAACTTAAGTAGCACTTGATTGAAAATCATCGTAGATCTACGAGTGCAACTGTAACTGTTTCCTACTTGATTAAATTAAACCCTAAATATAACTGAAAAAACCCCCACTGATTTCGGCCCGAAGGACAGCGTCACCTGAATTCACAAATCATGGAGAATGATATTCGGTATTATTTGCATGTCTATGACAGCGCACTGCATATGTATAGCCAAAATAAATCTGAATATCAAACCGCAAACTATCTTTACTGCGGTCTGATACCGGAGCACAAAGGAGTTTGAGGAGAACTTTAACGCTTAGAGCACATATGTATAGGCTACCTTCCAGCAGACTAAACATTTTCTGAATAAATGACAATAAAATTGAATGATCCCAGATGTACTTAAAACATGTTCAGAAAAACGAATTTAATGGATTTTAAGAGTAAAAATTAGCCTATTTATCGGCGTGACTATAATCGCTGTTGACAATGCTTGCATGCGGAACCTTACTCAAGTCTTATGTTTCATTCAGGACTCTTCAGACCGACGCACCATCACACATGCATTTCTCCCTGTGCTGAGGTTACCTGAATGTATAGCAGAAATAAATGCGTCTGTTGATCTCCAGTGGATGTAATCGCTGATCACAGAAGTGCTCGTCTGAGTTCCCCCCCCCCAATATATTTAACGTTGTGTAACAGAGGGGTATTATTTTCTGGTGGAGTGTCCTTGACCGTTTCTTGTAATGCGACTCACCCTGCGGGCGTTGATTTCTCATGGACGGGTGGCCCGTCGGATAGGACTCGGACCTGAGTCCAGAGTCAACATGCTTCGGAACATACTCACTGGTCTGGTTCGACACGAGAGAATAGAGACAACAAGAGCCCGAGCCGACGAGGTTCGCTTTTACGCTGAAAAGGCAAGTACAAAACCCCGCTTCAAGTTTCATCTTGCTTTTCCTATATCTGGGAATTTTCAATCAGGGGCATTTTCGACTAGCTAAAATCTTGAAAAATAAAACGGCGTCTGTTTCATTTATGACTTCTGGTAAATATTTTAACGGAGAATTATTATTTGATTATAATGTAAAAAAAAATCATAAGATTAATGGTAATTCTGACCCTCAGACTGTCACTCTGCTGCTCTGTCTGCCACGAGATGCGCTCCTGTCACTATTCTTTTCCGTTATAATTAAATATGATTATAAATACATGTTCTTGCCATTTAAGACAAGTCAACAACTATATAATATTAATAGAAAATATTATTGAAATATTGAGGTTCCGTTAAAATTGCCACAACAGTGAAATTCTGGTAAATGAAACATTTTAAAATATTAGGAAAAAGCAGATAGAAATGCAGTTATTAAGTTTAAATCGATTTTAATGTGCTCTTTAAAACTAGAACGATTGTTTTGTTTTTATTTTGACTTTTTAAATGTTTTTTTTTTGTTTCCTTTTAGCTGATTGGTTATGCTAAAAAGGGAGATACTAATGAAAAGTCAATGAAAATGGCTGATTTCTGGCTCACGGTAAGTTTTCGATCCTTCCTTCAATACGCCATCCATCCATCCATCTCTCTATATATATATATATGTATTTATATTTCTCCCTTCAGGAAAAAGATTTGATCCCCAAACTTTTTAAAGTTCTGGCGGTAAGATTTGAGAATCAAACGGGTGTATATACACGCATGGCTCGCATTCCTAACAGGGAGAATCTGGACCGTGCGGCTATGGCTGTCCTGGAGTATAAAGGCAACCCTTTCCCTCCCTTGTTCCCCATGAAACATGTCAGTGAACTCAACTTGTTAAACCAACTTCTGAAAGCATACAGAGAAGAAAAAGCTCAAATGGTGTCTGAGAAAAAGGACTTATGATCTTTAATCACTGTATTTGTACATTATATTTCATGTAATAAACCAGGATACATTTCATTAAAATCTCTTTAAAATTTGTTTTCAGTGTCGTGTATGGTTAGTTGATGCTCAAGCATGTCCATTACTTTTTAAATCAATATATTATATTTAAAATTTCTATGACTTTATATATGAATTTGTATGATATATGAATAAGATGTCCTGTAACTGGTCACAAAAGTATTTTGTCTCCACTACATTTCAAATGGTCCTAAAGAATGGTCAAAGTGAATTTTTGAAAATACAAATATTCCATATCTCTCAGCTAATGAGATTATTTCTCATTCTGGACTCTGGATTTAAAATAATTTTGTATAGTATGATACACAGCAGAACAAATTTAACAATAGTATTTCATGTCAACTAACTCTTTAAATTTGCCCTGGTTTCAAAAAAAAAAAAAATCTATATTAAAATGTGGTCACTGATTCTTAAGTACAAGAAACAAAATCAAAATATGTAATAAGGTATTATTTTGGATTAATCTGTTCACCAATATTACTCCCTGCTTTAATTTTCTCTTGTTTTTCTTGTTTGCCAATATACTGTACGTCAGCATGGTCAGATATAAAAATTAGTAAAATGTTGATTAGAAATATTGAAAAACCTAGGATTCACTTTGATGAATGAAGGAATTAGTTTTTAAATGTTTTCAGACCAATGACAATGATTTGTTCAGCAGTTGATTGTACTTCAGAGTTGTAGGATTACCGTTACAGTAGATCCCTTTATTACTAATCAAACTGCAAAATGAAACGCATAAACAAGCCATTGTAGTAAAACAGACCATTTTAATTTGGCAAAAAGGGTATGCACTGCCAAGTCATTTGACACTATTAAAATGCATTCAGTATGAACAGTGCAACAGAAATGTGCTTAACTAAATCTTTCTGTGCTCCCCAATGTGATGTGCTAATATCTATCATATATTCAAAAAGTGTGCTATCTCTTCTCTGCTAGGTGTGCACACTCACTTAGATGGAAAAATCATGGCAAAGCCTTTTAAGATCACCTTTTCTGGTGACTTCCAGACAGAACAAGTTCAGTATTTATTAAAGAAATGGCTTAAGGCCCAAGCACATCCATTAATACAAAAAATCAAACCACGGGAACCTATATTTCATGATTCTTCAAGTATGGTTCTTGTTTTTTTTTTTTTTTAAACAACAAAAACTAATATAAATATGTCATTAATATGTAGAGTTATAGGATTACATTTAAAGCAGGTCAATTTCAGATGGAGATTATATAGGATATGTTGATATATAACGCAAACATGACTCACAACTGGTTGTTTGGTTAAAAAAAAAAAATACAGCCGTGATAATGGATATTTTACAGATAAAACCTTCACATTTTACCTGTATATCTGTCTTTCACTGTATTGCATTATGCTTGCATTTTCAAGGGTCTCTGATGGTAATGAAGTGTTTAAAAACAGTAAAGTGCTCCATGCAGTCAATACAAAGTGTTTCTGTAGGAGTAGAGCTATATTTTCATCATACTCAAGTAAACAAACCTTATGATAATCCCAGCAGACTGAATGAATCTACTTTCTACTCACTGACAGAATAAAAGATCTACTCACAGAATAAAAATCTCCATATCCACTGAAGACCGCTGTGAGTGTTATTAAATATACAAATGTGTAACGAAGTTTGCAGAAATTGAATCTGATCTCAGAACTGTTCAAAGAGTTTTTGAACTCCACACACCCCTGCACGGACTGGACAATACAGAAAGACTGGGATAAAGATGAACGTCATCATTCATCATCCGCTTGCCATAAATATTCTCTACATACTGTAACTGTAAACTGTGTACTGCATACAAAATTAAGACTGCTAGTTGTGAAAACTAGGCACACCCAAAATTACATTGAATACATCAGAATGTAGACAGCACAGACATGCATGGTTTACAAATACTAGTTGTTCCACAGTCAACTTGCCTTTGCAGTTTAACATCAGTTTGCAAAGTCTCTAGCTGTATTCAATGTGAATAAAAATATATAAACCCTAAATTATCTCAACTTTACAGACAAAATGTGTACATAAATTCTCAAAAAAACAGTTAAAAAAATTTAGTGAGGGAGATGAATACTTGGTTCTGTTGCATTAAAATGGCATGGAAATACAAATATTAACAGCACCACTTGAAATAAACAAAGCATTAAAAAAGTGTCAAGAGCTCACTGTACTGTTACTGTACATCGCTAGCCTACTGTCACATTAAGCTTGAAATATCTATACTATAGATTCACCATTGTCTCCTGTCACTATTGCACTGCTTGTATATTATCTCTCTCCAGTGACTCATCTCACTGAATTATTTATTGCTTCTTATTTTTTAGGAGCTGTGTGACCAGGTTATGCCCCACTCTCTCTTGACGTTCTGCAGCTTGCATTTCTCTTTACAAATTCAAAGATATGGATGTTTAGTAACTTTTTTGAAAATGGCTTTACTTTTTCACGCTTGCCTTAACCTAATCTATTGAAATATTGAACTCTTTTTCACCTCATAGATGTTTGAAGGTAGTTTCCGCATGGCCCGTTCCTCTATGGCCTGCTCTAGGCTTTGGAGCCCATTCCCGTGGCCCCTTGCATACTAAAATACTCGGTGAAGTGGGACGTTAATCTAGGAGGAGGGGGAGAGTGTGCAGAGCTGCGTGGTGGTATGGGAGGAGGAAGAGGGACGAATGTAGATGACAGGTCCGCTGTTGTGGTGATGATCTTGTGCTCGCTGTTCCTTGGCACTTCCTGTCCCTTATGAGCCACTGTCTCGTCTATCGTCTTCACAGGGTCCTCAATAGGGAAACATGACATGGACTATATGAAATAACACTATATGAAAGTACACTCTTAAAACAACAGCTCACCCAAAAATGAAAATGTACTCACCATGAAGCCATTCCGTATTTAGAGGAGTTTGTTTCTTTTTTTGGAGAACTGATTTGGAGAACTGTAGAATTGCATCACTTGCTCACCAACGGATCCTATGCAGTGAATGGGTGCCGTCAGAATGAGAGTCCAAACAGCTGATAAAAACATCACAATAATCCAGAAGTAATCGAAACGACTCCAGTCCATCAATTAACGTTGTGTGAGAATTTTTTTTGCGTGTTTGTAATAAATCCATTATTAAAGCATTTTTCCATTCAACCAATTGTTCCGGCCAAAATAACATTTTGTTTTCACTTGTCCAGTGAAAAAGTCCATCCCCGTTATCCTCTTGCATCAAAATCCACCGACATACTGTATTTGTTTAGTTTTGGACTGTTTTCATTTGTAAATATGAGCATATTTCTTGATTCAGATGAGACAACTTTTTCACTTGAGAAAGCAATATTATGGATAGTGCATTTTGGACTCGTATTTTAGCCAGAAGCAACGGTCTGAAGTAAAAAATGTCCTAAAGATTGGTTTGTTTATTACAAACATGCAGCTTAACAAGACGTTAATTGGTGGACTGGAGTTATGTGGATTATTGTGATGTTTTTATCAGCTGTTTGAACTCTCACTTTGATGCAGTGGATCCAATGGTGAGGAAGTGATCTAATGTAAATTTTGATTATACATTTCTTCAAATCCATTCCAATGGATGTCAAATCTTGGATGGCCTGAGGGTGAGTACATTTTAAGCACATTTTTGTTTTTTGGGTGAACTATCCCTTAAAAATAAAGGTTCTTTATTGGCGTCTGTTTCACAAAGAGCCTTTCCATTGCACAGGTTTTTTTTATAGTGGAAAAAGGTTCTTTAGATTTTTTTTAAATGTTCAACACACTTAGCATAAATGGTTCTTTTAACCATTTAAACCATTTAAAATGATTCTTCAATGGCATTGCTGTCCCAAAAAAAACTTTTTGGAAACTTTATTTAAAAAGCTGCCCAGCCTGATTATTTTATCATCAAAATAAGTTCACTTATATTCAAATCAGTTTTTTTTTTCATTCCCATCTATAACATCTAATACTCACTGTGTGGATAGAGAAGAGCTCTGTGAAGTTTGGCTGAGAGTCTCCCAGGAAGGAGCTATTCCCATAAGCATGATGAGGGAAGCTTTCTGCCCCCATGCCTTTAGGACTGGAGAGAAGGATTCCTATCTGGGACGTGCGCACGTGGTAGGGAAAGTTCTTATTGGCTGCTGACGGACGCGTGATGGCCTGGAATGACAGGATTAGTCACGCAGGGTGTTTTATCATATTACTTGCTTAAATAAATGAAGTAACAAACAACAGCAACAAAAAAGTCATACCAGGAAGACGACATGGGCATAGAGATGGATGCCGAGTTGGATGCCGTTCACAATCTTTTCCCTGGCCCAGCGAGAGATGCCAAAGTTGGCAATCAGAGCCATAACTGGCACAGCAAAAAACCTATGGGTGAAAAAAGTAATGGATAAAAAGAGGAACAGGCTTTATACTGTCAATCTTCTTTACAACTTTACAAAGGCTTTGGAGAGCGTTGAGTCAAAGCAGAGAAAACAGTTTCAGCCTAGTCTCATGAAAAGACAAATGTGACTATGTATACATTTTTTTGAGGAAAGTTTAAAAAGTGTTTTTCTTTGAGTTCACGTTTCCAATGATTCAAACCCATGCCTTTGATATTAGGAGTGTTACTCTCAGACACCTTACGTGAGGTGTTGAACAAAATTTTTAACCTAGAAAAGTTCTTGCCAAAGCTAAATATTGTATTTGTAATAAATGTGACTATTTTGTATGATGAAAGCATATTGTACAATAAGTGGCATTTAGAGCACTATTAAAGTTGCGATGCAACAAAAGTAACGTCACATATTTTGTTTCCGTATTTTGACGTGTATCCAAGTGAAATGGATTACGGAAAAAGAACAAAATGTAGGAAAGGGACTTTTTTTATTCTCCGATTGTTGTTTCGATTGGTTTAAGTGGACTATATAATTGGAGAAATCTGACAAGAAGTTGACAACATTTTAAATAAAAAAGTACCAAAAATAAATAAATAAATAAACACAGATTAGTCAATAAGA